ATAAGCAAGTTGCATATGTAAGAATTCTCTTTATCACAAATTCATTAACTTGTTAAAAGTAGAAAAACCAACAGCAACTGAAATTGTGGAATTCTATACATATCTATATGCAGGCAATGAATAGAGGGTTAATTACTTAAGAATGTAATAATTTTTCCTAGTTTGTTTTAGTGCCTCTTAGGGAAAAAAAAAATCAGTTAGCACTAAACTTATTTTCTGCTTTCCAGGTCTATTTGGAAGGAGTGCACCACCAAAAGCCAAAATACCATGTTACTGTGCTAATTATTGGAATAGGCTTAATAGTTGGTGTTACCTTATTTTTGCTTCTTTCATTTATATTATGGAAGGTAAGTTTTCAGTATTTCTCGGTTGTTCTCAAGTCAGGAACTCACAGTGTTGGTGCGTCTCTGGATCTGTTAATGCAGGCTAAAGGATAAATAATATTTTACGATCTGTCCTTTCTAAAGAAACATAATTTCTTCTGTAACTTGTGTTCTTTCAAAATACGTCTCCATTTTCCTTCATTTTATCTTCTGTGTATTCTACATCATCTTTTGTTCAACACCAAAAACCCCTTCCCATGTTTTATATGCCATCTCATGTTTGCAAATGATTTATACAATTTAATGATATCAGATGGTGCTCCACATTTAATGTCGCTTTGACACACGATGACTAATAGTCTAGAACATAGCTTCCTGCCAGAATGAAATGTTTCAGATTTTAAACTGCAACATAAACGCTAAAAAAAAATCTTGTGCAGAAGTGAAAACAGAAAACTATGAAAGATTCAGCTTCTCTGACAAGCAATTAGGAGATTGTTAACTTCTTTACCTACGTGCAGACTTTCTCCATCCATTGTTTTTCCCAGGGAAGTGTAGAAAAGACAGACATTTAACAAGAAAGTTTTATTACGATTTCACATTTTAAGAAGTACTGGATTCTGTGGACTGTTACAGTTCACAAGCCCCCACGTCCTTACTCCTTGCAGGAGAGTATTAGCCTCCCAAAAAGTAAAGAAAAAGCAAACTCGCTTTTTTGATTGAGTAACACTTGATTACTTGGTATGACAAAGCAATGCAAATACCATTGTTCATAAACACCATATATATGCTTTTTATTTTAGTTCATCTTTTATGGTTTAGATTTGATAACAGATTCCAAAATTATGTATTTCAGATTGGCTTTTTCAAAAGGCAATACAAACCAGTCCCTCAAGACAAGAACAGAAGAGACAGCTGGAGTTTTACAAGTGGGAACAAAGATGACTAAGATGGCAAATAAACGCTTGATTTTAGAAGGAAGGATTTTAAGATTCAGGTGAATTCACAGGAGAAACATCAGTGACAAGAAAACTGGTCTTGAGCTCACTTGCTTTTACAAAATACACTTTATTTCCTTGAACTGTATGGAGGACTACACCTTAGAGTACTGTTCTTTTTCCAATATGAAAAAGGTAAAACCGTTTGTTTTGAAGTCTCACAGTAGTATTTGAAATGCCATATATATATCTCCGGTTTCAAACAGACAGAAGAACACTAAAGATAAACAGAGGAATTACTTACCAGAAAGAAGAACTTCTAGGAAGTAATAATGTTTGGCCAGTCCTGGAAAATAAGATGTCAAACACATTAGCATGAGTTGAGTTATTTTATTAATTTTCAAGGTTCAATAATCTTTTGATTAGACATTCAAGAAGAACTCCTCCCTCATCTTGCTTTGGCAGTTTTACAAGGGTAAGTTAGCTTAAACCAATAGAAGGACCGTAAGTAGAGTGCACGGATGTAGAAAACAGCTGTAGGAAGCTCTCTTGGGCTTCTGAATGCAGCCTCGTAAGCTTTGACTTCACAGGCACAGCCCCAACACTGCAGAGACTTAGACACCCAGGGAAGCCAGAACCAGGAAGGTCAAAGGCAGATTGAGAGCAGGGAATTCTGTGGGGCAGCCTGGAGATGCAGCACAGAATCCTCTCTCAGCTATAGAAAGAGTAAGGTGCTGGAGACCATCATTTGTAGCCATCTTTAACATGGTACTTGCAAGCAAGACAGGATTAGTTGTTTCATCCTTTCTCAGATATTGCTGCCATGATGTTTTGGACTTCTCCAATTAAATATTTCTATGTGGGGTTTTTTAAAGCAAGTATTTATTTTTATTTATTTGAAGATTTTTCTATAGTACTTAGCGTAGTAGTATTTTAGTACTGGCATTCTTCCAGGACCTGAAAGAAAAAAAGGCTTCACATGATGATAAAACAGAGAAACACATACCCAAAAGACTCCAAATGCCAACCTTACTGGGCCAAATTTTATCTTTAGATGCGCCACCTGAAAGTACTTAAGGAGGTCATTTGGAGAGCTAGCCTGCGTTCTTGTGAAGGTGTCAGGGAAATACCATCCTCAGAAGCCACTCAGCAGAAAGGCAAATGACTGAATAGAAACATGGTTCAAACCACTGCTCTGCTACTACAGGAAGTTTCTTCAGCTAGATAAGTTTGCACTGCCACCTAGCTTTGATGAAATAGTACAATCCAGGGGAAAAAAACCCGACTTTGCTCCCCAGTACAACTGGAGAATGTACAACTTCTTCAATAACTTAATTATTAGTTATGCAATACGGCCTTTCTTGCTATGCCTTTGATGTCTTTCTGAGCTGCAAGGAGAAATGAATGTAACATGTACACACACTTGGAAGCAGCACCATCATCCAGGACTCATGATGCCTGAGACTCAAAAGCAATACCCAGTGCCTTCAGCAAGCACTTTCGCTAATGGAGTGTTTGGTGCCATAAAAGCTACATTGTCCACAGATCCTAAAGGTATTTGGGACCATTTTGTAATTTTCTTTCACTTCATTTGATGCCAAAGATGTAGATCACTAAACTAAATTTTCTCTCTCAAATCTTCTGCAGTGTAAGGACAAATGAATGTGTATCTATTTTTAAAAAAATCAAAATAAAGTATGTGAAAAATCAAATATTTTCCTGCAAGTCTATGAAAACATACACAAAATGCTTATCTTCCAAAGGGCTTTAGTGAATTTTTGCACTTGAACTAAAATATCTTTGAACAGAAATCAGTTTGATGCTACAGCATATTGTGAAAAATATACCTCGAATACTGGAAGAAGCATTGACATGCTTCTTTTTACTAAAGTGAAACTAGAGCATTTTATGTATCTTTGAAACTGTTTACATAAGTCAGTACATGTGACTTAGTACAGTTCCAAGTCAGTTGCCTTGGAAATTGTATACTTCCTATTTAGATTTTATCATCAACACTGCCCATTCTTAGGGTATGAAGTGAAGTTCAGTTAGCTTTTATAAACCAGAGTGACAAAAAATGAATATACAATGTCCTGATGGTGGCAGGGTTATAAAGTATTGCTCTATTTCATTTTATTAAAAAGAACCCAAGTAAGTTAAGCACATGAATGCTGTTTCTCCTGCAAGTTAAATTATTTTGTTACATTTTCAGTTATGTAATGAAAACAAATCTAAATGTAGCTGGAATCTCCCTCTTAGACAACTTTAGGAAGTTTAGTTTGAATTGTCTTAACAGGTTAAAAATAGTTGATGCGATATAGTATCAATGATAGTAGTTTAACTGGAGACTACTCACCGTGACTGAGACAATGGGTATAAACTGAAATGAGAAGTTCCAACTGGAGCTGGGGAAAACATTCTCCTCATGAGGACAGCCAGGCATCGAACGAGGGGTGCAGAGAGGTGGTGATGACTCCATCCTTGGAGGTCTCAAGGCTGGACTGGATGAAGCTCTGAGCAGGAGGTTGGGCTAGAGCCCTGCCAGGGCCCCGTCCAGCCCAAAGGATGCTGTGACCATGACCACGCTCTGCAGCTGCTAACTCCCATGCAAAGGGCGGAACCAGGTCTACGATTCCTATAATAATGAATTGCCTACAAAGCAGGCATTTCATGATCTATGAATTTGGCCTTTACTACTGGCCAGGTTTCTCTGCAGAAATGGCATGAGATTTCCAACAAGTTAACAGCTTGTTCTTAGGAGACAAATAATCATCTGCTGTACTACTTTGTCTTATGTATTTATCACAGGTAAGAATTTTTCAAAAGTAGTATTTGAAATCAAATAAAATATAGTGGCTGTAGATCCCACGTAAAGGCTTAGGCCTTTGATTTAACAAAATCTTGAAGGACTGGATTTCACATTATACTCAACTGCTTCCTGAAGAAAGAACGTGAAGCAAGTCATTCTAGTCACCAGACCATGCAGCTTTCATACCATTATTCATCATCCTGCCGGCAGACAAACTTGTTGGTCTGCCCCTTTGCATCAGCTCAGAGAAAGCTAATTTCCATAAAGAATATAGTCTTACTTTATTATCATCTCAAATAATTGTATTAAATATTTAATAAGTTACAAAAAGACCAAATTAATACATTTTTATAACTTCCTTATAGGGCACAAACATAATTTGAAGTCAACTCTAAGTTATTTACCATAACTTTATTCTCAGCAGCAACAACAAAAACTGCTGAATATTGTTCTAGGCTCAAGAAGGTATTTTAAAATACTTATTTTGTACAAAGAGTAGTCTTTAAAATACATTTCAACAAAGAAAAGCCATATAAGACGGCAACAGATTGTTTTGTATTACTGTTTGACTAGAAACAATTTGAAAGCAAATACATTAAGGCAACATTAAAAATCATACTTTGCTACCATTCTCCAGCATGAGGTAGTACCCATACCTCCACTCACCAGCTCTATTTGAACTGAGTTACCTGACAACATGGATAGCGGCAGCAGACTTAGAAGTATCTCATACTGTGTTTATTGCAAAAGCTAGAGTAAGTAAGTTTTAAAGAAAAAAATTCTTCTATTTGATGGTCACTTCTCAAACCCCAAATTTATAAGAGACCAATGTAACTGGTTTTCATTTTTTCTTGTTAAGCCTAACAGTTTTCTTTACAGTTCAATACAACCTGATAAAACTATATGACGATGAAAACTTAAACCCAGAAATATTACAAACACCCCAGTTAAGCTTCTGTTACAACAACTGAATTCAGTGAGTGACAGACAGGGACCTTGGAAAGCTGTGTGTAGAGGTGAGAAAAGGGTTCTTTGCTGCAGAACTTGCAGTGTGTCCCTTCTATATGCAATTGCAGGTTGCTTGGGAAGCCTCCAGGTCCTCAGTGTTCACGCCATAGAGATTAATAAGTTGAGGATGCACCCTGTGAAGTGAGGAAGTCAAACTTTATCAATTTCATTAACTCTTACAATAACTGTGCCACTTTCTGGGGATGTGGCGGCGAGAACAAATACGTATGAACTGCTATATGGAATAAAATTGGGTGAGTTACATTTTGACAATTCCTAGAACGTCATCTTTAGAAGTATATATCCTATAACATGATCTGCCTTTTCTTTTAGACACTAGACTTTTACTCTGAGCTGTGTGCCTTCAACTAATCCTGTGTGCATTGCAGAGAAAGAGGCACCGCCCATTTAATTCCACTGATAATCCTCCTATTTCCCTATGTATTCATAGTCTCTTTCTTGGATCCTAGATATGGAGACTATTCTCAAGCAGCACTAAGATTCACACAACTGAAGAACTATGTGTTTTTATTAACCTTACACACACTGCTTTCCAAGCAGGAATCCTTATCCCAAAAGGAGCTCCTCCCAGGAGTCAAAGACCTTTATACACATCTATTCAGAAGGGTAAAGTAACAGGCAGAAAGAAGGTAAGTGGAGCTGGAAGCACCAGAAAGGAAAGACAATATGGGTCATAACAAACCTTTCCAAAGATGGGCACAAGGCAACAGGGCAGAGGCCCAAACCACAGCAAAAGGGCCAGGCCTGCAGTGCACAACAGTACTATTCTTACAGCATTTACAACACCCAGTTCTGGTGTCATCTGTATTATATAGAGATGCAATACATTTAAGATCGCAGTACTGATCTGTTACAGGTATACAGTCCATGAACATAATACTTAGCCTTACCGAACATGAACTTCTGATGCTTCTTCCATTAAGTCTCCGTCTATATTCCAAGGGTAATTTCCTTCTGCAGCAGCAGCATTCAAATACGTATTTTCTTTGGCATCAAGCCCACTTTTAAGTGTTGGTTGTACTTTTACTTCTTGAACTGTGTAGGTCTCAACAAAGGGAAAATTGAACTAAACCAAACACAGATATATATTAAGATGAAAGATATAAGTGGTAGCTTAGCAACAAACTGGATTACTTGAAATTAAAAAGCTTGCTTTTTTTATTCTTAAGTAAATGGGAACACTTAACTCAAGCTTTGACCATGTGAGGTATTATATATTCCAGCTAGCATTTATAGATTAACATGCTATTTTTATCCTAAATAGTGCCTCAGAAAAAATGGTAGTGTTCCATTTGCATTCCCATATCAGACTTGCTCAATCTACAGGTAAGGTGGTATATTTTGCACACGCCAAAATGGCACATGCTTTCAGGATATGTGAAAGGCCAAGTGCATTTTTTCCTGTGCTCTGTTCATCCTTACCAGTAATCCTGTCCTAAAGGAGGCTCGTTAGACTTCTAGTAAACGGTCACCTTAAGTTCAAAGGAGGGTCCATATCTTGTCTAATTTCTAACTACAAAGGCAGAGAGAAAAGCCTTCCTCCAAAAGCGTAACTGGAAAACATAAAGTATTTCCTAAATGCAACTATTAGTGCTGTCACACGGAATTGTCATCCACCTCGCCCCCAAACTCTCTGACTGTGGACAAATTCAAACCTAAACCTTCTTGTAAAAGTGATTTCACATAATCCTGAAACATCTGAATGAGAACCAGTGTGCTTAGGCCGTGCATCGGGTATTCAGGATGGCAATAAGGCACTGTGTGTGTATGCTTCATTTTTCGCTTCAAAGACAGAATAATGGCCACAATTTTGAAATGCAATTCTGCAAACATTCACAACTAGATGGAACGCATACCTGCTAAAACTCAATGGTCATAATCCAATGCTACCAGCATAACATGCAGTGATCTGCTGAAATTATGGACTATTTCTGACAGAGTTGCATGATGCCCCCCTCCCAGTCTGCATTCTTGATCTGTGTACTACACAAAATTTAAACACAGCATGCATTTCCTTTATTGTGGGGAAAGGGCTTTACACCCATAAACCTATGGTACAACACAAATACAATTTAAACCACAACAGATGGGCTGAAATAGGCTAATCGGTATTAGTCTAGTGATTTAAAAAAAAAAAAAAATCAGATAAAAAGGGGGCTAATGTATTCTGACAAGAAGCTAAGTCTCCTTATGAGGATGCTAACATTAACTCTTTCAGCACGTCTACCTTCATGATTAACTGTTCTTTTTATAATCACCAGAAAGAAATTAACAGTACCTGATTTTTTATGCTGGCATATCTTTTCAGATGTTTTATAAACTCTGTTCGAGAAGTATCTTGTACAACAATAAGAGCCATGCTTCCATTATTCAACCTGAAAAGCAGACCAATTTAGTTCCCCCCCCCCAATTCATTAATTTGGAAGTTTAACATGCTTTTCAATAGTCTAGATTAAAAAAAAAAAAGTACATTAATAGAATAGTCCAATGTTTTTTTAAATCTTTTGCCATCCACCCCCAACTCCGTAGATCAATATAAACTATGCAATTGAGGTTACTTAGCATCGATATAACATACACTGTAATAATAAAATTGTGCTCCCTTATCGATACCCATAATTTATTGAACATAAAACACATAATTTTTTTAAATGTTTTCTGATTAACAGATGGTTTTTAAACATTGGGGATCACAAATTTATCTTTTCGCTTTTCTCTCCAGCAAAGATTAATGATTAACATAAATGTTGTGAGGCAGAGCTTTGCCAAGAAGCCATTCCCATGATGCATGCAAGCACATCCCCGTCATATAACCCAGTGCAGATGGGTTCATTCACCTCCTCTCTTAGCACTCATGCTGCCCTAGCAAAGGTCCTGATCTTCAACTATGCCACTGTTCAAACTCTCTTAGCAGTTCTCAGTACAGTTCTCTTTACACATTTCACAAAGCACATAAAAGTTAAAAACTGAGGGAATTTTGTACAAGATGAAACAGTCATATTAATGAAGATGAGACCCTACAGTGCAGATACTGAATGGTCCTAAGTATCTAGTCGCCACTGATATTTTAGCATCTTTGAGAATTTGTGTCAGACAATGAGCTAGTATCAATTCACAGATTCCTTAATGCAACTGTACCTCGTTGCAGAAGCTAACATCCTGAATCTCAATGCAATCATGCCTAAGTCCCATTTAAGTTATAGAGACAAATCAATGTTCAACAAGAGTATCCGATGAACGTGACAATCGCTGCTGAGTTTGTATTCTATATAGAGCTGATGTATTTTGTATCTTCTGAATATATATGCATTCATATATATGTACTTATTTATTCAGCATGTATACTTGGAAAACAGGTTAAGAATGTTTAAAAAAAAAAAATTACTTGAGGCCTACCACCACAGATTTCTCCCCACTCATAGATCTCTGGCTACTGAACAACTACATCAGGAATGTTCTCAGACTATGATACAGCACAATCTAGGAAGATAATTTTTACATAACCATTAAAGAAGTCAGCTGGCATAGCATTACTTTGCTGATTTGGAAAACAGTAAGGGTGAAATTGAAACAGTTGCCTCCTTATCATATTTGCTGCAATAAAAGGGCACAGCAGGCTACTGGGCAATGCATTCGGCACTGTGGCCTTTTATCTTCAGAGATGGCTAATAATTCTCATTAATTCTCTTGGAAGTCCAATCCGCAGCAAAGCACACCACCTATGCTGTGAGAAACAAATGTCCCACATGGCTCACACAGCACAGACAGTTGAAGGTATCTTGACATGTTTCTGCAAATTTGGACTAGTATAACTAGAGCTACAGGCAGCAGTCAAAGCTATCATTCCACTTCAAATGGCTTCACGTGGCAAAAACATCATGGGCAAAATAAGACAGAGTGAAGAAACCTAGCTCAGTTTATCTGATGCTTCCATAAAGAGTCTTGAGTCTCTAAAAATTAGTGCAACATTTAGGTTTCCTGTGTTAAAAAGCCTTAAAGTCAAGATGCTATTCACAATGAGAAACAAAGCACCTGTCTGAAGGGTCTACTCTTCCTACTCTACTAGCTGACTGCCCTCCTAAGATTATTTTTTAAAAAGAGAGGGGGAAAAAAAGGGTGTTCTTACATGAAGGGGTAGGGGGATGCACTGAACAACTACGCTGTGGGAGAAACAGGCTCATTCAAACCTGCAATAATTGCATGGAGTTGTCACAAAATGCTCTGCCACTGCGAAACAGGTGCCAGGACAGATGGAAAGAGAAAGCAAGACTAATTTCTTCAGTTCTTGTCCGAATTTTTCTACAGACTGGTATATAACACACTAAATGCCGAACAGAGTAAGCTGTAAGAGGGGACAGCATCAGGGCATTGTCCTGAGGTATATGAGGCATAGCAGGACCCCTGTAGCAAAGAAAACTTCTCAATAAAGAGTTTCATCAAAAACATTTGTTTCTACATTGTTTCCAAGAAGTCACATTCTACCAGATCAGACAGTAGTTTTGACTAAAAATACCCGATCGATTCTTAGGCACATCTGTTTTCACCTAATGACGATGAAATGAAACAAAACAGACTCATTCCATAAACGTTCCCGAGTGGTGGGGGTTTTTTACAGATATACACACAGACAGGCACACGATTTTCTGCATTCTTTTTTGAGAGAGCATGTTGTATTTCACATACAACTACAAAGTTTGTATTTGCTATTCTGCTTATTTTTCAACTGGATACATCAAGTACAAATATTTATCAGCTGATAACTGTTTTGATCACCACAAAGTGATCTTACATGTTCTTGACAGTAAACTAAAAGTCAACAACCAGATTACATATTTATTTGTTTCCCAAAACCCTACATGTAGAAGCTACATTTTCCCAAGTTGGTGGGGGGGGCGGGTAGGAAAAAAGAAAGATAGAAGAAAAGTGTGAATTTCAGTTCTTAACAGGAGAAAGATTCATACTTCATTTTTGCTGGCTATAAAACAGGAGGGGCACCTTTATATTTGAAAAAAATAAAATAAAATCCAAGAATGAAGTTTCTACATACAGCCAAATCCTATGACAGATGACTGCTCCATGACTACCTACTTAAGTCAGACTTGCCAACTAATTTAATCACAGCAATTATCCACTCATTATTCTAGTTAGACTACTTGACCTTATTTGCCTGATCCAAAAACTGATTACAATTCCTGGGATTATCAAGTCTGCTGCAGTACATGCTCCCTCCCCCATTCCAGAGGGTCTAGACTACCTAAACACAGGCTCATATTCTCGGAAAAGCCAAGGTCTTAAGGTAAGATGTCAGAATTTATAGACATGACTAATTCTCTAAACCCCTACTGACCTCGTATTAGGTGCCAAGCCTCTTGGTGCCATTGAACACAGACAAGGGATTGCCATAATGCTCACATTCAGGAAGTGACCCTGAATTTTGTGCCATTGATCCTTGCTACCTAAATATAACAGAGCAAATCTATATTACTCTGGTTTAACCAGCCACAGTTCACTTTTAAACAATCACAAAAGCAAAAACTCACCCTTTTTTTTAATGTTCTCTTTCTTCTTTCTAAAACAGTGGAAACATGTAGGTAAAATAATTTAAAGCCATTTAGCACAGTGAAACAACATCTACTTTAGGAAAAAAATAAGTCTCAATGGAAAAATGGATTAATGGAACTGAACAAACCAGTAATACTGAGTGGAAGACTGCTTTGTAACAAATCCTCTATAGGGAACATTTTATAAAGTGTTCAAGTTTGCAGTTGTCAAAATAAATATCTTTTTTTAAAGATTGTTTTACCTGATGATCAAATTTGAACAAAATTAAGACTCTGTACAAATCTATCTTCAAAGACACATATTTTTGTAGCTTTGGAGTTGTTTAACTCAATTTTACTTACCCGTCATTCTCATGAGAGTCTTCCTGTGGAATTTGTAGAGGTAGAAATGATAATTCACATTCCTCTGGCCTAGAAAAGTAGTGATACTTACTATCATGTAAACCAATATTCTGACTGCTAGACAGACTTTTATCTAAATTAAGATGATTTTAAGGAAATGCTGGATATACAGAATTTATCTCCTCTTTAACTTGTAAGAGGGATATACATCACATCTGAGTTAAATCTGTCTGCAATTAAGAAGTCAAGATAGCTACTGTTGTCTGTATTTTTATCACATTAATTATTGCATTTTCCTCATAATACTAGAATACCAGAAAAATATAACTAGAAAATACATAACAGAATACTAGAACAATATAACAGCTCATGGCATACTTGAGATCTGCCAGTGTTTTGATAAAAGCAAAATCCTTCCGCTGGTTGGAGGGCATCCAACGGTACTTTTCAGCCAAAGCTAGAGTCCTTGCACCAAAACCAAACATAGCTGAGAACCCAAACCGCAAAAGCTTGCTTGGAGTACTGAAAGTACAGACATCTACTGGTTGAATATGTCCTGAAATTTCAAAGATAAAGATCAGAAATTACAAATAATATCTGTATTTCAAACAGAATATAGCTTACCATTTCTTTTTCACCTAATTTAGCTGTAGAAAAAAACTCCAGAGTCTCCTCTCTTTAAGAAGTCAAGTATTACTAATGGAAACCAGAATCAATCTAGATATAATTAAGACTCTATAATATAAAGTAGTCATTTCAGAGAACAACGTTCAGACATTATGGCAAAAATTCAGCTACTTCATTAGGCTGCAAAGGCTCTGACTCCTAATTCTCTTCAAATTTTCAACAATTAATATCAAAGAAAATGTAATATTGCTACATAAATATTTGCAACCATTTCATGAAATATTTGTAATGACTGAACATGGTAGTGGAAGAGATATGGGAGCTCTTAAAGATATGTTACAAATGTATTTATGTTTACAGTTATAGAATTTAGACGTCTAATTCTGTTCAAGATAGGGTATATAATTTTTTTCTGTAATAGAACCTGGGTGCTTTCCATTAGATTGCGTGTCTCCGATTTTAAAAAGACAGATTTCGCCTGTACAGGCTTGTGTATTACTGTATTACTATGTAAGAAATAGAGTAAAGGCTCTTCCACTGCTGACTGCAAGGTCTAGGAAATAGATATTCACGATGGACCTTCCCCATTACTCTTCTTTTTAATTAAAAAAAGAAAATATCCTAAAGAAAAATTGCTTTGAGAGCAAATACTTAGTTGAGCAATGCTGATACTCTTACCTCATAAGACCTGAAAATAAGGTTTGCACTAGCAACCTGGATTTTTCTTTTAGCATAATTACATTATCACATTCAAAAACCTATTTATTGTGCAGACCAAATGGCAACTGATACACTTTTTTCTACTAATAAAGCTTTCTTATGGAAATTGCTAGTATTTAACAGAAATGCACATGGAGCTAAAAAGATGAATGATACTTTCTGAGAAATATGACAATACTTTCCTGAAAAGTCCAATCCTAACCACTTCAAGCTGAAATATTGTATATTTTCCTATTGTCTTCACCAGGTACATTAAATTAAAATAATCAAGTGATTATGCAACCAATCATTGCATAACATCACACACAGATTAATGTTATTCACACAATCAAGTCTGGAAAAGGTTACTTTTTGAATTAAAAGACCATCAGTAGCAGGGCATGAATGCCAAAACCAGACATTATTCCGTGGCAGATTTTAGTTACCAGAAGATGAGGTCCACAACCTTTGCTACTAAACTATACTTGAAGAATCATAACCTTTCCAGTACACTATAAATCAGGATAAAATCAATTGGGTTAACAGTGATATAGCATAATGGTACGCCTTTACTAAAACACTGGTTATGGCAAAATTCTAAATGCTGCTTCATTATTTAAAATCTGATAACATATGTAAAAATATTTACCCATTACAATGTGCAATGCTGCAGTCACTGCATGCTTAATACCATAGAGAGTGTGGGCCAAAATATTAGTAGTACCTGTAAAAGCAAACACAAACTGTTGTAAAAATAAGAGAGATACAGAATGGCAAGAAAAAATATATACAGCATTTTTTGAATTAAGAAACTGAGACATTTACTGCATTTTCAAAAAAAGAAAGCCTCCCCACAAATTACTGTGTCTTGGTAACAGCAGAAATGCTGAATACTACAAGTTAAAACCATTAAAACTTCCAGAGGTCTATAAAATCCCCTCTGCAAATTCATTCATAAAGTGCCATAAAAACCAACGGTTGTGGTAGGGCAGGAAGCTCTACAACAATTGCCCCCCTTTCCCCCCTTTTTTTTTTTTTAAACAATCACCCTAAAAGTACTGTGCTGAGGAACTGTACTAGAAGGCAGAGTATCTAATAATATATATTTGGGGAATATTTTTAGGTTGGAAAAATAATATAATACCCAGCCAGTGTAAAACTGTGTGTTTCCCAGACAAAATCCTACTAGATCTAGTCTAAGCTGCTGTGCCTCTTGCAGGCTACATTTTAGATTCTTAGAAGCAGTAGTGAATAAAATTAATTACTGCACATCAGCTTTATATATGAAAACGCATTAGCGACTGAAAACCAGCAAGAACATAGAATTTGACACGTCTGACAAATTGTTGACTTGCATTCAGTGCATTAAAATTGACCCATCTAACTCCTCTTTGTCATTGCCTGGACATTGTCAGACCAGTTGTACTACTAGCCACTGGATAGAAGAGATTAATTCTTTTGAAACAAGGGAATGAGTAGTAAATCAGCTGGTAAATAGAAAAAAAGGTCAAGAACTAGCAATGTGAGCATGGAGTTGGAAGAGAGAGTGGAAAACTAGCTATCAGTTTGTAAAAGAAAACAGCATGGTTCTAGAGACCCATGTTTGGTGGTGACTGATATGTCAAGTCACTTTACCTGTGTAAGAAACATGGATATACATGTAAATTTTGCCCTTCTGCTTTAATGTATAGGACATTGTGTATCTGTGTATCAGCTGACTTTTAAACAGCAGTTTATTTTAAAAATCCTGAACAAGGAATGGTTGCATCTCTTCTAAATGGGTATACTTTTAACAGAATTCCAAGTTGATTCTTCTCATTGATCACATCTCTGGCATTTCTTAGCCAAGCAGCAGGGCCATAGGATTCACTTCTGCAAAAACAAAGAACCAGGGCCTGCCACCAAGCAGGCAGAATATTAAGCTTCTTTATATCACCGATTAAGGGACGAATAATTCAATAACAGATTAAAATAACAAAAATTACAAAAGAACAGTTGAGAACCTAACATTCCATAAAGGAGTGAGTTCAGTTAGGTTTTCAAATCATTTTCTTGTTGCTTGAATTATTTAATATGTTACAGCAACAATAGACAATTCTGGATGCTAAATCTGCCTTAAGTTTTTTGGAAGCATTTAAAGTTGTCTTTCAAAAGTGAGGGAGAGAAGAGAGGAAAGGAAAAGACTATCACATTTCAAACAAGTGGTACTCAATATTTAAATAAGCACTTAAAAGCATCGTGTACCAGACTGAATTACATTCATCCCAAAATTCCGCAAGCTTTGATGTCACGTTAGTAGTAGAAAAAAAAAAAAACCCAACAACTACATTTGGAAAGACTGATTTACATAGATACAAAACTATAAAGGCATCTTGTCATCCGTACTCAGGAGTATATGCTTCAATTTTTTTCAATAATTTCTCTGAAGAAGAACTTGTAAAATAACTGGGAATTGTATCTCAGTGTCTCACAGAGCACCTGTTATATTCTTAGAGCACCTTAGTCTCTGAAATTAATTCAGAATACTCAAAACCTCATGGGAAGCCTTCATAACATCAGAGAGGAGCTCTGAGTAAAGCTCTTAGGGTTCCTAGTATGTGAAGAAAGTAAGTGAGGTACATCTATTAAGATAACAGATACAAAACATTCTTTGAAGTTTATATCTCCGGCATTACATGGAAGAAATCTGGTTATGTACAGTTTTATTCTTTGAAAAATTAAAAAAAAAAAAGTAATTTCATTCACATATTTCTCAGAATTTTATAGGTGACTATACTATTAATTTCTTGCTCCTTTTTGTAAAAAAGGTAATGTTTAAATAAAACCAGCAAATTGGGATTATGAAGTACTTTGAAAGAAGAATAAACTGACAACTTCAAAAGCTCAATGCAAGTCCGCTTTTTTCTCGCAAAAGAAAGTCTCTCTAGATACACTAACAGGAAGTCCAGTTTATTAAGAATATTACAATTTCAATCATTTATATCCAATAACTATATCCAACAACTCAACTAAAAATAATTTGAACTTTCCTATGTACAATACACATAAAAAAGGGCAAAAATGTAGCTCTGTATATCATTTACTATGCAAAATACTGAGTTTTTCAATTCAGTGAACATAAAATACAGTTCTATAAGAAAAAATCAGAGACAAAAAAATTAGGTTTGTCCTACAAAGCAATTCTTCACAGAATAATACAAGTATATGCCCAACACCATTTCATGTTTGAATTACTTATGACTTACCCTCTAGATTCAACTGATTCTGCTTAGCCAGTGAAGCTAGCTAAAGAAGTAGCTCAAAAATACTCAAATATTTCCTTCAATCAAATTTTACCAACTCTTATCAACTTTTATGGGAACCTCTCCAAAACAAAGGAAATCCCACACACAAAGAGCAGATCATTACAAGTCATGCAAATGATGTTTGTTTCCTGTAAATTGACAACAGGGAAGTTGGTATTCTGAAAAAAATATTTTTCTTTATCACTAAAGATCAAGCTAATAAAACAGCACAACGCAGAATACACTTTTAAGATCAGGCTTGGTATGTCTTAAAACTGGGATTCCTCATTTAAGTCATTTATCAATACAGATGGCAGCAAGATCACAAATGACCACAGCTGAAGTCAATACCAATCTTCATACTGACTTTAAGGAGAGTTAAATCTCATTCTTACTAAACAAGATAAGCACAAGTAATTCCATCCTTCTCTTAAATCTGTGGAGCTCATTAACATTTGCAGAAGTCAACAAGGCAAAACCCCATCCTTTCATGACTCCTGGGAAACTAAAACAAGTTCTGCCTGTGTTCAAAAACATAAGTAACGCATCCACCCTTCCACAAGTTGAAGATCTAGAACGTGCACAGTTTTGCAGTAGCAAGTACCATCTCCTTCTCTAAACCAACTTTTACTACATGCCTAACAACATTTTGATCCCAGTAATGACTGGATAATGTGTCTCATTACCCAGGTCCTATACAAGCAGGATGCCACACAAAAGAAAAAGCTTATAAACAGAACCAAAACAATAGTTATCATACAAAAAATATTAGAATATAAGCTTTGCTGATGTGAGTGGTGATTCAGTAATAGTGGTTTTAATGCCATTATTCATATTCATATTCATATATATTATTCATCTCCCCTCTGTAAGCTCGGAATATTATTTACCAATAACAAGATGGTTCCCCTGAACACTATCATATTACTTCAGAGACTAGTAGCCTTCTTCGATGCTCATGTGTGGGCTTGCACCCCTCACAGATTAATAAGTCACATTTTCAGATCTCACTCCAACTACTCAATTTACTGTAAAAAGGTTTTATCCATACAACTCCATGACAGCATCTCTGTCACCAACATTTTTTTTAAAACAGAAACAAAGAGGATTTTATTATTCAAAAAATATAATTCTGTTCAAAATATTAATCCGTTTTCCTGACATTACAACCAACTTCCTACAACCTCCTCCTTACGAAACGTGCAAAAGCATCAATGTAAGGACAAAGTATCTGCAGGTCATGTAAAGCATGACTGATGAAGGTACCAAATAGAAGCTGTAGAGAAAAAAATTGTCCTTGGAAGTGCAAGCACTTCTGCAGTACAATTAACTTAATTAACCAGACAACATGAATATTCATAAGGCTGTTAATGTCTCCCCCATCCAAACAGATAAATGTGATGTAATGACTTCCTAGTCAAGCATAGCTAAAATTCTGATGAAAACTGCACCAACATTTTGGTTCTTTGCCTGAAATATCACAGAAATTAACAGTCCCTCAGTAATATTTTATTTTCTGAATTAATTGGAAATCATTGATTTATTTAAATGAACCATTTAGGACCAAAAGGTTCCCAGTCATCAGATATAGATTGTCTCTTACTCTGTAGCAACTGGAGAGCTTTTTTAATGTCCTTCCAGTTCTCCCTCCCCTTTCTCCCATTCCCCCTCCTCTTTCTCCCATTCCCCCTCCGTACAGTTCCTCGGCAGTAGTTCCCATAGCAACAAACTCTCTTGCTAATGGCCAGCAGTACAACTGCAGGCTTCCCCACATCTCATCCATTTCATTTGGACCAGAATGAGGCAGCGCAGTAGCGTATTTGAGTAAAAACACACTCCCCTCTGGACTTTTCTCTTCAGGAGGTAAACTGTTTCAAGAGCAGCTCCCTCCCATCAAGTTGGCTGAGACTTCAAAATGCTCTCTTAGCTACTTATTATAGAGGTTAAAACCAGATTTTAAGCCACTCAAATAATGCTATCCTGCAACACAGTTTCTGTTTTTACTCCGCTGGAGAATCCTAATAATTTGGTACAATGGATTTCTGAGGGTGAAAAAAGAGAATTAATTGACCATTGAGTTCCATCTTCTTCATATACACAAGTGTCATACTTTTGTTTCCTAAACTGACTACTTCTTGGACTATCAGTAATATGGAGAAAAAATAAGCTATAGACAATTTTTAAGAACCTATTAAGGAGTTTCTCACACTACCATTCTACAAATTGTTCTCATCCTCTTTTAAACAAAGTCTATGGCATTCTGTGTAACAAGATGTACAGCATTCTTTCAGGTTTACAAATCCTTTTTGATCATGACGTATTTGTCTTAAACTGAAGAGAGTAAGCACTAATAATGATGAGGCACAGTGACCTAAGCGCAGTCAAGCAGCATGGAGTCAAGTACTGGAGAGATTCCGTCTCAACACCATCAAGATATTCACAGCAACTGAACCGATAAGCGATATTCCAGCTGCTGTACTAGAATTCATTGGCTTCATGTCTTCGAGATTACTGTATCTTTTACCAATACTTTTCCAAGTTTTTTTAACTTGTAAAAAGCTAGTGTAATCTTGCGTTTTTACAAGCAACTAGTCCCTGTCTTAATGCAGCTTTTAGAAGTGCAAAGCAAGTCAGAGCGCTTAAAACCTGCTTGCTCGGTTCAGAAGCAACTTGCTCCTTTTTTTGTAAAAAATTGAAAACAACAATTTGCTGTTCACCTATCAACAGGAATTTTTTCCTTACTAATTAAAAACCTCCGGGAAATTACATCAAGTAGTCACATCAACATCCACACCAGAGGGTAGTGTCCATGCAGAAATACCCCCTCCTCTTTTAAAGATAAGTGATTTGTGTACCAGTGCAGAATCAGCCCTGCCTGTACTAATTCTAGCTAAGCCTCGTGGCCTGGCCCAAGCTATACTCCAAGAAGGGCAAACACAAAAACTGGGAGGAGAAAGGACACCACCACCCCCCAAAAAAAAAACCCAACCAACCAACCAAGCAACACACCCCACACCACAAGACACAAGTACAAGTTAATAAAGGAGCGAGAGGATTTTTCAAGAGAGATACATACATTTCCAGTTCTGTAAAGGAAAGAGAAAGCAGTTTGTGTGCACAGTTTTATA